AAGCATCACAGAGTTTGTACAAGTGTCTCTGAACCAGCAACTAAATGTATGTATCTTATTGATTCCTCCTACCCATCACCAAATAAGAGATGATTATATACCCTACTGTTCCTAAGCATATACATGTGAAAACAGGCGTTCCTGTTTTCTCCTGTAGTCACACGGCTGTAACATTTCTGCTAACGATTCCCGGGCTCAGTGCCGAAAGAAGACAACAGAATTCCCTGCTCTGCTCCGCAGGGTCTCCAGGTGAGCACCGCCTGCTGATCCCTGCTGCCTCCAGGGCTTATTTCAGTTGGGACTTTGGTATAACAGGGCCCTTCCTCCACTTTTATCCATGGACAGTGCTCACCAGCCCCACCACTGCACGGAGCTGTGCGTGCCACGGAGCTCTCTGATCCCTCCACAGCCTCCCCTTTGGAGCAGGTACAAAGCCATGGGCTCGCATGGGTACGTCCCCATCGCTTCACCTGTGCAGGTTTGGGTTCTGACACTGACTGGGTATTTTGAAGTGTGACTTTTCAAATGGGGGAGATACTGAGACTTAAGGCAAAACCCCTGAAAAACATGAAGTCAGAGCTGTTATTGCACTTAAAACACGGAGCTGCACAAATGAACTGCAGCAACTGTGTGGCAGTGAGAAAACCTCCTAAAACAGTGGTCAATGTACACCTGAGCTTCCACGTTCCTGAGCTGCTCCAGCACTGTCTGCATTCCCCTTTCCTGCAGCTGGTGGAGGCGGGACCAGCTCTTCAGGCTTGGGGTTGTTTCATGCTTTATTCTCCCAGATTTTTCTCTTCAAGCTCATTTCTTGGGTGTGCTGGATCTGGAGGAGGTGCTCAGTGCTTCAGCAGTTCCTGTTTTGCTTTGGCTTATGGAAAATTCACCAGGATGAAGCCAGGAAATAAAACATCAGTGTTCATGAACACACCTGGTGACCAAGAACGTGGTGTGGATTGGGAATCAGGATGCACAACAGCCTTAAGGGTGTTTCTTTAACAGTGACCATCATCCCCTGGGGCCCTGTGCTCCTGAAGGGGCTGGTCTGGGAGCTCCTCTTCATTCTTCTCTGCCTGGGGCGAGCAGCTTCTGGCTGGGGCAGGGGGGATGTGGAGGCATCGGTCAAGGTTCTGTTCCTATCTCTGCTCGTCGTTCATCAGGAAGCACGGCAGCTGCTCATGCACAGGGGTGCTTGGTTACTGAAGCACTCCAAGGGTTCTGCCAGGCTGGGCAGGCGGTTGGAGCTGAGCTGAGGGATGATCTGGTCCAGGCTCCAATTTGTTACTGATCATAAGAAACGAGCAGATTAAAAAGAGGCCCATTCAAGAGCCTGTAGAGGTTCATTACTGGTCCCTCTGTTCTGGGTGCTGCTTTATGTGCTTTTCCAGAGCTTTTCCAGTGTTTTTCTCCTGCATGCTGCCGGTGAGCCCACTGCTCCAGGTGAGAGATCCCCACTGGCCTGTGCCTCCAGCTGGACGATGTGTCTCATACACAGTGCACTCTTGTTGTGTTTTGCCTTTCCTAACGCTGTTTCTTCGCACTCTGTGCTCCAGGTGATGGTCTGTGGACCACACGAGTCTGCAGACTTGGTGGATCCCCAGGGCCAGGGCTTGGAACAGCCTCTCCCCACCACTGAGAGTGCGGAGGGGAGATGTCCCGAGGTGAATGGGGTGTCCTTTCCTGTGTTCCCTCCTGGCCAACTGGGAATGATAAACAGGGTCCCTATGCCAATGCCTAACTTCTCTTCACTGGGGGAATGGGCTGAAGAGAGTCTGGAGGGTGGGAAGGCAGGAGGGAAGTTAAATAGATGTGTATATAAAAAGAACAGAAACCCTTGAAGTGCTCGCCCGCCTCCATGTGAAGCTGCCACCTCCTGCCAACATGTGATACCTCCCGTTCCACTGCTGCCCAGCTAACAAAAATGAAAACAGGATGAGGGGTTTGGAGCAGATCCCCAGTGAAGATGCAGCCCAGAGCTGAACCAAGCATGCGACATTTGCTCATGCTCCAGGGAGCCGGTGGGCTGATGACGCTTGCAGAGTCAAGGTGCTTGGAGCTGACTGTTCTGGAGCAGAGGGGTTTAGCCTGGTGCACTTGGAGAGCTGCTCCTGACAGACCCAGCTGATGTTGGTTTCTCCATGAGGACAAGGGCCACTGCCTTGCTCCGTGCCGAAGCTCCGGGGTAGTTCCAGGAGGTCCTGCTTTAGCCTGTGCTTTTGGAAGCAGAAGGTCTGAGTTCTCGTCCCTCTTCCTTGGGATGTTCCTGGTGAAGTAACAGGGTCCAGATGCTTCCTCCTAAGTGTTTCCAGGGGAGGAGGTGAGGAGGACTTGGCAGTTTTGCTCAGGGGGGCTGCAGTATGAAACCCGTGGGCAGGTATGACTATGGGAGCCAGATGCTTATTAGAGCTGTTGCTTTAAAATATGCCTTGTTTTCAGTTCTCTCTCCCTACATATTTTGAATATATTTAGGGCACTTATCACCATAGCATCAAAGCACTGAAATATCCTGTGCAAGGAACTGAGACATCTGTCCCAAAATAGCTGCCTGCTCTTTTACCAAAGCACTGGTTTCACTCTCAGTGCTCCCTTTCCCTGCCATTGCCCGTGACTGTGTGTGCACCTGAGTGCTGGAGCTTTCCCTGTCCCCATCAGCCCAGCGCTGTCACTTGTCATAGCAGTGGGTCAGGGGCCAACTCCAGGAGAGATTTGTGATGCTTTGTGATGCATTTGCCTTAAGACTTCAGTATCGTGTGGTGGGCTGAGAGGTTCTGCATGGGCACGGTGAAGCATTATTGCTGTTTATCTTGCTATGAGATGATAGAGAGTGGCTTTGTTCCATGGAAGCAATGTTCTGACCCATCATGTGAGCAGAATTTGGCTGCTGGAACCCAGAGAGATGTGCAGAAAGACGCTAAGGCTTGCTAAGCCTTAAGGCATGCTGAGCACCTTTAGCTTTTCCTGGTGCTCCTGGTGTCCCCTGATGCTTACTGCATCCATTTGGTAAATGGAGCTGAAGAAGCTGCTGTTTCTCCTTGTATTTGGGCTTTGGCAGGACCGAGGTGTGAGAAACAGAGCTGCAGCCACCTCTGCTACTCTGAGACTTTCCTTTTGCAGATCCAAGCTGAACTTCAAATCCTTCCTCCCTGCTGGCCCCGCAAGCCTGCTTCCCATGGGAAACCCTGCCACACTGGCGGGTACCTTCCCAAGGGGACTTCCTTCAGTCACATCCCTCTGACCCAGGTGAGTGATGGGGCATTGTTTCCTTCCTGCCCCTTGTCTTCAGCTGCCCGCTGCGTGCAGACTGCGCTGAGCTCCCCCTGGGGCTCAGCAGTCCCTTGTTGCTCCCTGGTCTGGAGGAATCTCCTCCTGAACTCCTGATGGGACGGACACTGGGGTCCTGCAGGGCAGGGTTAACGGACATCAACATGGGGAGCTCTCTGGTCAGAGCCAGTCCCTGGCTGCTCGCCTCGTTCCCGGCTCTCCAGGGCCATGGAGCTGTTCACCCTCTCGTTAGCACACTGTGTGCACATCCAGTGATCACATCTGGAGCAGGCGTGGGTGGGCAGCAACTCTGCCCCCTTCAAACCAGAAATTACCTCCTGAGCTGGTCCTGGACATACCCAATGCAATCCTCTTTGTTTCTGAATGTGCTTGGGGGAAGCGGATGATCTTGGTTACAGAAGCAGCTGATGAGGTGCTCTGGGTTAGTTTTAAAGAGATGGGAAGTGTCTTCAGCAAAGAACTGGTGTCTTCTCTGAGACGCTCAGCTGTCCCTGAGGTGTCCTTGCTGAGAGCCCTGTTCACTCTGATTTGCAGCTGGCACCACCTTTTGTACCTGGGCAAGCTGCGCATTCTCAGTTTGTCGGGAGTACAAGGTAAGAGCTCGTTTGTGCCTCTGGTGGCTTCTGTGCCACTGAAAATCCCTGCCAGCAGATGCCAGTGTCCTGCTCCACAGGCAGAAAAGGGCTGTACACCAGGAACTGATTTTGTGTGTTCCTTTTTCTCAGTGCCAGAAGACAGTTCCAGGGCTGTGCCAGTGGCTTGGAGCGTTCCTGTTGACCAGTGGAGTTAATTGTGTGCTGTCCTCTGCGGATGTGGTTCTCAGCAGGTTAGGATGAAGCACAGCTGCAGGTTTGGGGATGGAGCCGTTGGTGGTTGCAGCAAGGGCAGAAATTGCTGGTCTGGAAATGGGCAATGAATCCAAGTCTGAACCCCAGGAGCTGCTGTGTGGGGTTTGCTGGGGGCGGCCCTGAGGGGGGCAGCCCGGTGTCCCCAGGGCTCACACGGGGAGGCTTGAACTGGGGCCAGCTGAACACTGGAGCTGGTGCTGCGGTGGCAGAGGCTGGGCTGTGGCATGGCCGGTGCTGGGTTCTGCTCTGTCACACGGTGTTTCATGCATCTTAATGTAGCCTTGAACCCATGAATTCCCCTTAAGATATTTACAAAAGCGGTATCGAAATGGGAAGGAGTTGGAGGGAGCTTGTGGGCTGCTGGGAGGTAGCTGATGGGTAATCAGAGATCAGGCAATGAGGAGAAGCAAGACTCGATACCCCTTCTGCAGAGTCTTGCCTGTGTAACGGCACGTCCCTTTCATTGTCCCTTTCCTCTCCAAATCACCTTTGGAACTGTGTTCTGGTTGGAAGTCCTGGACTAAAATCAAGCAGAAAAGCAACCACCCAACACAAAAATAATCTGTGTGACTCCCCCTCCAAAGGCACCACGAGCCATTAGCCAGGAGCTGGCTGATTGTGATTTATAGTTTCTTTACCCAGCAGAAGCAGGAGGGTAATGAACCAGTGTTTTGATCTCTGCGGGCTTCCCTGCAGCAGGGAGGAGATCAAAACAAGCTTAACTATTCCTGATTCCCACACGTGCTCTTCCCCCTCCCGCTCCTCCTCTGCTGCTGTCGGTAGCCTCACAGGGCGCCAGGGAGCATCAGTCTTGTGGATGCCACAAACCCGCCTCGGCAGGGCCAGGACAGGGCTCTCCCGTGGGGGACAGACGTTGTCCTGTCCCGTCCCGCTCCCTCGCGAGCAACCCCAGTTCTCTGCAGCCCCAGAGCGGTGGGTGCTGAGGGTGCTGGTGGTGGGAGACGCTGGGGATACCTGCGGCGGCAGCAGGATGCTGCGGGTCCGGGCTGCTCGCCCCTCGCAGCGCGGGGACGGGCGCAGGCGTGCGAGGGAGGCCGAGCGGGGTCGCCCTCAGTTGGTGGACACGCTGTAGCTCTTCCGGATGGGGAACGTGAGCTGCCCCGAGAGGTCCAGCGACAGCGCCTTGGGGTGCAGCGCCCGGCGCTGCGGCAGGGGGCTGGCGCTGGGCCTGGGCGAGTAGAGCACGGCCAGCTCGGGGCCCGCCAGCCCGGCCTCCAGCACCACGGGCTCGGGCAGCGGCTCCGTCCTGGCGCGGGGCAGGCTCGGGGACGGCTGCAGGCTGTGCCGCTTGGGCGGCGGCGGGCTGTGGTTCTGAAACCTCACCGTCTTCACTTGCTGCAACGAGAAGGGACCCGAGTCACCGTGGGAAAAGCAGCCGCGCACCCCCCTCGCTGTGATGCGCCCTGGGGAGCCGGGGTGCTCCCACCACCGTCTCGCTCTGGTGGTGCTCTCCTGGGGGCTTGGGTGGGCTTTCGGGGCCTTGAGAAGCAGTTTGCCCTTCTGGTGCTGTGGGAAGGGAAAGCTGCCGCGAGGGCAGGTTGCAGAATGACTTTTACCTTTAAGAAATTGCCCTCTGGCTGCCAGAGGGGAAAGAACTTTCCCTTCCAAATGGCTCAGCCAAAGCAAAGGAAGATGAGGGCAGCTCTGTAGAGACCAGCTTGATGTGAGGTCTAGCACCCAGGTCTGTGGCGTTTGCTCATTCACTCCCAAACTGTCAGGGACCTCAGTGGGATTCCTGCCTGATTTAAGACCTCAGAATAGTCTCAAGATTTGGTCATGACTGAATGTGAGTTTACATGCAGAGGCTCTGCAGCATCTTGCCTTTCTAAAGGGCTTAACTCGGTCAGCAGCATCAGCAACACAAATACCCCATTTCTTAACATATGTACCAATCCCAGTAATTTCTATCATTAGAAAACGTGTTGGGAATGTGCAGCCCTGGTGGGATCTGGGCTGGCACTGAGCACCTACCGGGCTGGGGGCCCCAGAACCGCAGTGCCCACTGGCCCTACCTTCTCAGCGCTGTTGCGGGAGGATTCAGGCTTCACCAGGATGGACGGTGGGGCCGAAGCGGGCGGCTTTGGGGCTGCCTCGCTCTTTGCCGGGGGATCTTTGGCATCCAGGACCAGGGAGCTGCACACGGAGGGGGTTCTGCTCTCCCCTCCTCTGACCACGAGCACCGGGGACACGTCGTGGGAGAAGTTTGTCCTCGCTCCTGCCTCGGAGGGGATGCTGTGCGGCGAGGGGCTGAGGTGCGGATAGAGCTGAATCTGCTGAGGCCGCAGCACCGTGGTGAGAGGACGCCGGAGGGAGCCGGCAACGTGGACGGGGGTCCCCGCCTGCCCTGGCCTCTGCAGGGATCCGTCTGCGGAGCAAGAACCAGTTGGAAAGGAGTCAGCAGGACTGAGCACGGCACAGACAAAGCACGGAGGCAGAAGTGAGCAGTGGTTACAGGCCTGCACCAACAGCCCCCTCCATGGGGATGCTATGGGGCTCCCAGGGATAGCCACGCGCTCAGCGCATGCAGTAACCCCATGTGCAGCAGCACCGTCTGCGTCCACAGACTCTCCTGGGGATGCCGCCACCGCCGGGCTCTGGCAAAGCCAGCAACTCGGACCCCTCAATCCCCCTGTACTGGCACAACAAATGCCACAAGTTCTCCTGGACAGGAGCGATCTGGTTCCTGAGAGCTTGCTCTGCCTTCTCCTGGCCTGCAGACACGCTCTGCGTGCACACTGGAGTGCGTTAACCCTGAACATGGGCTGCAGAGCCCCAGCACGCCGTGCTTGGACGTTCCCGCCCGGCTCCCGAGCCGAGGACCCGCTGTGGCAGCGCTGCGAGGAGCAGGTAAGGACCGGACACGGGCTCCTTCCTCCAGCTCCCCCCCTCCAGGCACTTACTCTTCCTGGCGCTGCCGCGGCCGCGCCGCAGCGGTGCCGGTCCCGGGGCCGCCGCGCTCCGCCCGGGCGAGGGCACGGGCACGGGCAGGGGCAGCAGCGCCGGCTTCAGCGGCCGGCTCTGGCGGGGGCCGTGCTCGGGGCCGCTGCCCTGCGAGGACAGCGAGGAGGTCGACAGCGTCCAGGTGGCGTAGAGCGAAGGCATCTTCGAGTCGGAGAGGTTCGGCTTCCTGCGCGAGAAGGAGCAGGCAATGAGCTCGTGCGGTGCCCGGGGTTTGCCCAGCAGGGATCCTGCGGGGTCTGATGTGCGTGCGGCGCCCCAGGCCAGGGCTCTGGTGGGGAGCACCGCGGACCAGGTTTCTGGTTCCATTGGAACGAGGGCTTTCATTCTGCACCGGATTTACAAGAAATTATTCCCATGCAGGGTTTGGATTCGTTACACAAACCCCATGGCATTTCAAAAGGGGCCTCCAGACACCAGCCCTGCCTTTGTGCTTTGCCCAAGCCCCCTGCCCTTAACCGCTACCCCATTCCCATCCCTCTCTGCGCTGGGCAGCACCTTCAGCAGTGCTGTCAGAGGCAGCCTTGGTGCAGGGGCAGCAATTTCTCCTGCCTTCCCTAGGGAAATCACCATCACATTTTCACCTGAGGCCACTAAACTGTCCAAACTCTGCAGCCTTCCCCATCAGCACAAGGCCAAACACTGCTCCGGATTCCTTGAGAGAGTGAGTGGGCCACAGTGAAATCCTCCTGTGAGCTCCTTAGGGAAGGAGAAAACATCCCTCTGATGATTCTTCACCTTTTTGGGGGTGGAGGAATGATTTATGGTTTGATAACTGAGCAGTGATTCATCAAGTAACTCAGGCATCAATCTATTATGAAGACATTTCCTAAGAAGGGTAGAATAGCAGCTCCAAACCCGGTGCTGTGGTTGGGATACTTTATGAGGCTATTTAGGGTGACGGGGCTCTGCTCTCCATTATTTGTTGGTGCTGTTCTTGGTGAGGTGGGGCTGTGGTGTTACTGGAAGCTTGGTGGTGAAAAAATGAGCTGGGGAGGTGGAGACTGATCCCTGGTGCTCCTGAGCATGGGGAGGGTGCAGGGAGCAGAGCTGGGTTTAGAGTAGCACTGGGACCTCTGCTCTGAACTGACTGTTCCTTGTTTCCCTGGCTGGCCTGAGCCTGTCTCAGGGGAACGGGGGCACAGGCAAGTTTTTATCCTTCTCCTAAACAGTATTTTAATTATTGCTGTTCATAATGCATGCTTGTTTGGTGAGATCAGTGGCGTCCAGTCCTTAAATGCCAGTTCTGAACACTATTTTGACTCTAAAAGAGCCTTCAACATGTGGTTTCCTTCCTGGCAGGAAAAAAGAAAGACTGGAATGAACCAGAAGGAATAAAGGCGAGTCCAAGCACAGACACGCTGCTGTCCATCCTGGCTCCCACACTAACTCATCAGTGCTGGTGCGTTACCTCTGCCAGAGCTCCTGGACTGAACTACACAGTGATGGGAGAAGCTGCTGCTGCTGCCTCTGTTGACATCCCAGGTTACAGACAAGTGGATGAAGGCTGATGTTGTGCTGTTCCCTCATCCCGACTGTGTGGCCCCTGAGGAAATGCTGCTGGACCCCCTTTCCCTGCCATGGCCCTGGCTGCTCGAGGGAGATGTGATTCCCACCTGGTGCAGCTGAGTTAGGACACAGAGAAACTAAAGGGGTGAGAGCTGCTGGGAGTCATCCCACCCAGAGAGTCATCCCGGCTCCCGTTAGTGCTGCAGGAATCCCCTGCAGGGATTTCTGTGGGGGAACAAGAAAACCCCAAATCCTGCGTGTTACCCACTCCCCTCCACATGTCCTTGTATCGTGCAGGAAAAGCCAGACCTGAAGAGGGGAGCGACGTAGTTGCTGGGGAAGACGCCCGCTCTCCCGGTGACCAGGGACATGCCCCGCAGCCATCCATCATGGTCCTTCCCGAAGACACGGACCCCTTCTCCCTTCTGCAGCTCCAGCTCGTCCGGCCCATGAGCCTCATAGGAATGGAGAGCCACGCACCTGAGGAGACAGAGTGAGGGAGGCGGATGCCGGAGCACATCCCGAGGCTCTGGGTTTAACTGTGCTATGGAAGCCTCTGGAGCCAGACCCCATCAACTGTCTGGGTGCTGCTGTCATTGTGGAGTGAACTCACAGGGAAGAAACTGTCCTGGACTTCAGGCCAAAGGGGGTGTGAATAAGAGAAGAGCCAACAGGAATGGAGAACAAAGCAGAGCCCGTCAGTGCTTTGTGTCCCAAGGGCCAGCCGAGCCAGCCATGGGCAACAAGTGTTAGGGAGGACAGAGCTGGTGCTCTCCACCTCACAGTGAAAATACTGATCAAGGGCTCATGTGTACTTGTCCTAAGGCAAAGCAGCATGAAAGAGTGCAGGTAGGACGGATGCTGTGTCCACTGACAGCATTGAGAATACATTCTGCCTTTGAAGCAGGTGGTGAGCCAGAGGCCTTGCATCTGCTTGCCTTGAGCATCATCTGGAGGTGTGAGGTGCGAGGTGCAGGAGGAGCACTGCTCGTGCAGCAACCTGGATGTTAACCTCATCTTCCTCCCTTTTCTCCTCCTCCTTCTGGGAGCAGAATAGAGTAATGCTGGGACTTCAGCTGCTGCCACCAGGGCTTTGAGGACAAAGTGGGCAAGGGAGGAGGCACATGGCTCCTCTCCGGGCTAGCAAGGACACTGGGCTGGAAATTTACTTGAGATCCCCTCTGAAGCTCTGTTTTCTGGGGCTAGAGCAGGGGATGAAGCTTTGCTCTCCACAGCAAACCACGAGCACAAGAAAATGACATATTTTTCAGAACTTTCCCAATATTGGTCTTTAAGGAACCTGAAGTCTCCAGTGCAACACATTCCATTGCACTGTAGGTTTGGTTTCTGTTTTCAAGGGGAATGTGATCTGCTCCCAAACATTGAGTTATGGACCAATACAGCCATTACCAGATAGCATCTAGAAAACAGAAACCACAGACAAGTGTCCGGATAGGCAAGGGCTGCCCCGTGCCTCTTGAAAGGTTTTTCTCTGGGTGTTGTTCAGAACAACCACATGAAAGTTCACCTTGCACGCCTGTCTCTGGATGGTGATTTGACTTGCAGAGGCCAGGCGAGGTTCAGCTAAGGGAGTTCTGATTGTGCAGGTTTATCACTTCATGTAGGAGTCGTCTTGAGGGGCAGGACGCGCAGATGCTGGTTTGCTATTGCAGGGCTGGAGAAGGAGCTGTGCCGAGGAGGCAGCTGGTTGGGCACTTTAACAGGATCTCCCTGCAAATTATTTTGAGGAGTTTGCCTGTGCTCACGATCAGGGGCGTGTGGTAGTCTTGGGAGCCCTATGCTAATGCATGGACATAGCAAACATCACGAGCGTGGCACAGATTGCAGCTATCACTCATGTACTTGTGCTTCCAGAGGTCGGGCTCGATGCTGCGGAGGTGCTAATTGCCATGTAGGCAGCGTGTTGCTGTGCTCTTGTCATTAGGCAGCTCACTACAGTGCCAGGCTGATGAATCTTATCTAGGGGAAAACAAATCACTGCAATACATCGGCTGCAGATTTCAACTCTGGGAAAGTTTTAAAAGATTGGATCATCCAAAACACCACTGACCTGCTTCGAAAGAAATACCTGGAGGCACTTCAGCAGTAACTCGTTTCTTTAAAAGATCTAAAATGTACTCTTGACTAATAGGCAGGACTATGTATGTCCATAAATACTGAAGTGAGGTAGTGAGGTGCAAGGACAGTTCACCAGCTGGGAACAGAACAATTCAACCTTGATACTAAGTCTGTGTGAGCCCCTGCCTAGACCAGCCAAGCACATTCCTGCATGGATCTGCATTGGATCCAAGTGCACGGGAGCTGTGCCCTGCTCTGCCCTTACCTCCCAGCTCCCAAGAGCCTGGGGCTGGATAAGCCTGAGGTGAGGGGACCAAAAATTACATGACACCCCCCAAGGTGTATGGGTTTCTGTACGTACATGTAAGCTGATATGTGGTGCTGCAGGTGGGGAAGAGTGACGATGGCCGCTGAGTGCCCCAGCGATCCTGGCGCAGGGTAGTAGGATGCACTGACCTACAGGGAGAAGGAAAGCAAGGAAAAGCAAGTGTTAATCCAAATATGAACTGACTTTAGCCACTGGGAGAGCAGCTAAAGGCATTCGAGAGGCTTCATCCACCCTTCGGAAAAGCCGACAACCAAAGCTGCTTGAGGAGAAAGAAGAGTTTGGAGCATTCGACAAAATCCTGGTGCCTGCTCCAGGGAGGAAAGGGGGTTTGGGAAGCGTTTCAAACCCAGACTTTGCTGACGAGGAGGAGAGCGTCCCGCCTGCCAGGTGAGGACTGCTGTAATCGCTGCTATTTCACTTGTTATTTATGTAGCTCTAGCTGGGAGTACTGGCATTGTCTAAACCCCAAATAATACAGTCCTTGCCCAGTGATCTTTTAATAACTGTTATTAAAGCTCTTTACTATGTCTGTGGCGCCCCGAGTTGCTCCATAGCCCTGTGTGTACAGGGAGCTGTGGCTGTGCCAGGAAGAGCAGCAGCGTGAGAGCGCGGGCAGAGGCTCCTTGCTTGGGTTTATTTGGTTTGGGGTGACCCTTTCCCACTGTCACCCTGCATCCGCAGGGAGGTACCGGTCACCATGATGCCCCCTCTGCCCTCCTGTAGGGGTTCATGCTCTGGGGAGGAACCTCAGCTCCGTTTCTGCTGTCAAAGGTGATCACCTCAACACGTGGAGGTTTAAGTGTCTCCTCTGTGCTTTTCCCCTGTTGGGGCCACATCTGGACCATGTGTTGGTATCTTCCCCCTTGGCCAGGAGACTCGCAGTGCGGGGGGCGGGTATCTGTGTTTCAGCGAAGGGAGGCGCTGGCTGGACCCTGCTGTGAGCTGTGTGATGGTGTGCTAGAAAGGAAGTATTTCTTTTGCTGGTTGCAAACATACATAGCAGTCAGGGTGCAAGGTCTTTCAATGAAAACTGGGAGTTTCCTCAGGAAGGCAGTGACCCTTCCCGTTCCCATCAAAGCCCAGCTGCCTTTCAAATGGCAAGGGAAAACAGAACTCTTTGACCTGTCCTGGCTGGCCGCTGGATGCCCAGCAGTGAGGTGGAGGGTTAGTGGGAACAAGGACACATCCACGGGGGGCTGGAGCCATGGCTGTATGCCCTGTGGGTCTGCGTCACCTTGCTCTGCTTTGGAGCTGCTCCAGGGCTGATCTATCCCTCCTAAAGCACAAAAAAGGAACCCTAGGGTGAGCTGCTGTGAGCCAGCCCCCCATCCCCATTGGAATGCTGGGAGGCATCAGCTGGGTTGCACTGTGGCTGCTGCTGGGATGCGAAAGCGAAGTTCCCAGCAAGGCAGAGCAGCATCCCTGGGGAATCTCAGGCCAGGGAAAGTCACTGGGCTGGGATGTGGCTGGCAGCCCTGCTCGCCAGCAAAGACCGCAGCACCTTTCATGAGGAGGTTGTCAGGGCTTTAATCTCTCCTTCATTTCCAACCTAATTTCTAGTGGTCATGTCTGTGACACAGAGCTGGAGCGCTGGCTTAGCAAGGACCGGGGCAGAGCGGGAGTGACTCACCGGTGCTGCTGCTCCCCGGTGAATGATGTTAATTAAACCCCAGCAGCTGTAAGTCTGTCTCCAGACCTGGAGCTCAGCTTCAAACCAGCTCTGGGCCCTCGTTTTCTAGCCCAGGCAGGGGCAGAGCAGGCTCTCAATAAATGAAGCTGATTGGAAATTACAGTTTTAGTAATCTTCATAATCAAAACCTTTGAAATTTGGGGATTTGGAGGGTTTTTTCCTTGCACTGGAGCAAAATAACAAACTATTGCTGTTTCTCCTGATGGAACTGTGGAGAAATGTCCACTTCTGAGTGGAGAGCTTCATGTTTTCCATCTCTCTATTACCCCTCTGCATGGAAGCAGCGATCCTTCCAGAGCCTGCATCAAAGCTGTGTTTGTATTTTCAACAAAGAGGAAAAAGACAATGATTTTCCAGGCACGTGTGACTGATTTCAGCATTCACTTGTGCTGATCTCTTGTGAGTACCTTTCAATCCCTTACAAGTATAAGGAGTTTATTTCCTGCCTCTCCTAAAATCCCTCTCTTGCTCCATCTCCCTATCTAGGTTGTCACCAAGGGGATTTCCAGCTCCTCCTCTGTACTCTGCTGACACCAACAGTTCCTTGTCCGGAGGTTTGTGAGATGCCTCATGGGGAGGGAGATCTGCATTCCACCACAGGGCTGTTGGTGCTCTTGGTGCTCCTGACAGCTGGGTCCTGCAAGATCAGCTTATTTATTACCTAGAAAAGCCCAAAGCACTGGATGCAGGTGCCAGGTTTATCAGCCCCCTTCAACGAGCAGCAAAGGGTTGCACCGAAGGGCACTTCATTGTTTGTGCTTCGGGGGATACAAAAGATCTCCTTGGTCTCCCTCAAATGTCTGCAGTCTCATAGTTTAGGGACAGTCTCACGTAATAGCTACAAGGTACTGGAAAATTCCCTCTCTTTTTACTCTCACTCCAAAGACAGCAATGAACATCCACTCAAAATGTGTGCATTTGTTTTTAAATTACACAGGAATCACATGGAAACACATCGATTGAGGATGCATTTCAACCCACTCTCTTCTTTACTGTTTCTAATAACAGCTTGATACTTGTACTCTGGGCTGAGTTTTCAGGGCTGGCAGCAGCACACAACTTCTTTACTTCCATTCTTCTGTCTTACCTGGACTATTGTAAACTACAGGAAACACAGACCTTTTCCTTCCACGTGGTGTGGTGTATATACAGTTAGCTGCATGGAACAACCACACTTTTGGAGATGTGCTGCTGTTTTTCCAGAGTCTCAGCGCTTGCTACTGAAGCTGAACTTCCTCTGAAGCTGCTGAGCAGGGTAAACCAGCCCTTGGGATCAGCATCAGCTCCCGTCTCTCCCACTACTCATCAGTCCTGCATCTTTGTTCTGATCACGCAGCTGCCTCATCAACAGGTTCATCCCTCAGCTTTTCCGTCTGATTTATACTAGGAAAAGGGACGAGTGACCTCAGCGGGATGTGGCCAGCGCAGCCCAGGCTGGCAGTGCTCAGCGGGGCCTGGCGAGGCATCAGCTCAGCTCTGCAGTCAGTCATCACAACCCAAACCCAGAGGTGGAAGAAGGGGAAGCTGCACCCTGCATGGCCCCGTGAACAACACGGATCCTGCTGCGACCCTCCAGGAGCAAAACTTGTTCAGAGGAAAGGAGATTCCAGCCCTTCGAAGGCAAAGTGTTAATGCATTCCCTCTATTGCTTCTGCTGTTGACAATAGTTCACACTGAGACATTCCTGGTAAAATTATATTGGGTTTGTGAGACGATACCATTGCAATTGAATTATGGTTCTATTGTAAGACTTCATTTCCTCTCACATAAAACAGGATCTAACATCCAAGGCTCTTTGCAAGCTATTGCTAAGTACAAAACGCCTGCTGGGTTTTATTGCACAGACACTGAACTGCCAGGGGCTGGCTTATTGCTTTATAAAATGTTAGAGCAACCTTGAATATGAAAGATGTCATATAAATCTAAACAAACCCTTTTTTCCTCCCATCTCAGATGATGTGTGAAGATTCTCTATTGAGATCTTTAGTCAGAGTGTGAAGAAGGAATTGAGACCCTTTTGCCTCCTAAAGTAAAGGTCGGTCTGCATTTATTATCTCTGACCCAAACCGGGCTTCTCTGAGCACGGCCCCAGGTTCCAGCTGGAGCCTGGGAAGGGCTCAGGTAATTGTCCTCCCTGGCAGAAGCTATTGCTCAGGTGCTGTGCAGCTGCAGGCAGAGGCCTGGCTCAGGGCACAGCCCCTGCCTGCTCCCCCCGCAGCGCTTTCTGAAATGAAAGCTATTGCATTTGATAAGAGAAACTCTCTGCTCTCACCCCCTTGCCCCTGGGGCTCACTGCAGGAGTCGGGATGGAGGATGCGCTTTATCCACGTTCAGTTACTCTGATAGCTTCATTTCTCTTTTGGTGAATTCCCCTGAGCTCTCATAGACCTTTCCAGTTCAAAAGGATAGGAAAATATCCCAGCAGCCTGACGCGGATGACAGCTCTAAGTGGCGCTGGCAGCATGGTGCTTTGTCTGAGCATTTGTGCTTTAGCTTTTCCAGCTGTCAGCTGTGCACCGTGTTTCTACCCAGGATTTGCACTTCGGACTCTTGCCGCCGGTTCCTTACCTGGATGGGGGTGCTGTAGGGAAGCTCCGCTTTCTCGCTGCTCTGGGTGGCCACGGTGGGGTTGCTGGAGCTGATGAGCACGGGGGAGCTGATCTCCAGCGCCTGCCGCTCAGGCGAGTGGACCATGCGGTTGAGGGTGTTGAGGGCCGTGGTGATGGAGAACTGCCGCAGGCTCTTCCGCCGGGAGTCGGGCACCTTGGGGAACGCTGGAGAATCCGCGCCCTTGGTTTTGGGAGACGCCGTTCGCAGGGACGTGCACTTAAACTGGGGGGACCAGTGGCTTTTGCTGGTTTGCAGGAGCTGCCTTGCAGTGGTGGTTGGCTGGAAGAGACAAAGTGGGAGATGATGGCACGTTTCACAGGTCATGCCTTGGGTTCTCAGTTTTCCCGTTTTCCTCCCTTTTCCTACGCGGCAGCAGATTTCAGCTGATGTTACAGGTGCTCTTTACCAACACGTGCCTCAGCCTTTTCCCTCATTGTCTTCAGTGACAAAGGCCGGATGCAAAATCACTGCTGCAAGGCTGACAGCAAATTACAATTGTTTTACAAAGTTGTTGCTTAGCCGACACGTTACGAGGCCGAGCGCCCTCCCGGCACGCTGCGGACAGCCTTTGGCTTGCTGGGGTGCAAGGAGAGCTGGCTGCTCTCCAGCAGTGCCACCATACATTGAACTCGAACTTAGAAGGGACATTTGGGTACATCTTCCCTGTGCCTGGCAGCAGGACATGGAGCCCGGCAGCCGATGAGCACCAATGGCTTTCCCAGCAGCATTAGATCCACCCAGTGACATCTCTGTAGGCCTCAGTATTGGTGGCTTGATCCTGCTGCTGTTGGAAAAGGCCTTGCTTGTTGAGGATTGGGCTTAATGAGGGAAGTTTGCATACGGGCAGTGTTCAAACAGCACTTGCTGGGAACTGCTGATGAGGCAGTATTAATAGCAGAGGGCATGTGGTGACAGTGTTTGTACCACGATGGCTGCCAGAGGAATTAATCCTGATTTACTGCTGACACCAACGAATTGCAAAACATGGAGATTCTCACCCACTCGTGTGGGGCAATGCGCCCAGGACCAGCAGCGCTGGCTCTCAACAGGGGAGGTGCGGGAGGCTTCAAGTGGTTGTGTTTTAAAGCAGGGCTTGTTGTTGCATTTCCCTTCTCCTCGCTCCTGAAAGCAAGCTTTAAACCTGAGTGTGTGCGTGTGTACACGCGTGAGATGGCGATGCTGTCAGCTCTATATGCAGTTAAACTTTAGCCTGAACAGGAAACTTTTTCTGCCTTCTCCAATCCCCAGGAGATGCAATAAATGTCAAGCCAAGTGACAAGCCAAAGGACACCCAAGTGTCAAAGCCAAGACAAGCCTTGCATCTCCCCAAACAGACCTGCCCTTGCCTTCTCCATAATTAATTTCTAATTCCTTGGTGCCTTTACCCTAACTAACTTACTTCTGTTAACGCCAGGCTTAAATGAGTAATTACTGAAGCTAAAATGATTTCAGTAAATGAAAAGACATTTTACAAAATATATTAGAGCTTCAAATAAGATCTTTTACTTGTGTTCTTTTATAAAACAGCACCGAGAAGGGCTTGCTGTAATTATGATGATTACAAGCATTAATTTTATTTCTAGGAATTCTTGTTGGTGCCACTTACACCCTGCATCTCACGCCAAACTGCAGGAATACAATTAGCACCAGGAATGCCTCCTGTGCTACGCTGAGCTGGCGCTGGGGCAGGCTGGGGCATTGGGACCAGCAGAGCCTGGCACCAGCACAGCAGCAAGGGGCTCATCCTGCCTTTCCAGAGAGCAGCAGCATCAAACAGTGCCTCACGTCCTCTGCTCAGCACGGCTTTCACAGCATCGCAGGGTGGTTTGTGTTGGAAGGGACCTTAAAGCTCATCCAGTTCCAACCCCTGCTACGAGCAGGGACACCTTCCACTAGAGCAGCTTGCTCGGAGCCCGTGCAGATGCGCTCTGACCCGCCAGCACCTCTGGCCTTACTCAGCACAATGCTCAAGCTTGGCTTTAATTTAAAGGTGTGAGCGTGGCTGGGTCGGGGCCGTGGACGCGGGTCTGAGGGTGAGGACATGAAAAGCTGTTGACTCGCTGGAGGTTTTCCATCGTGTGGAAATGCCTCTGTAGTTGCCACACACAGAACTAATGATGCAAATGGCATTTTAGCTATAAACTGAGAGAAAACCCCTGTGTAAGCACTGGGGCAATTGCTGCCATGCTGAGCAGCTCAGGTCTGTTTCAGGAGCTGAAATAACCTGGCAGTGCTGGGGTGCAGGTATCTGGACTATTGCAGAGGAAAGCAGCTGGTTTGTATTGACTGACAGCTAGATCTCTTTGGAAAGACATTTCTGAGCACCCCAGAAGAGTTAAATCTTGTTACGTTTTATGATGTTTTCATTTCATCTTGTGAAGGATCCTGCCTGGGGAGGGGAAGTAAAGAGAATTTATGGTTTTCTCCCTTTTGAACTAAGGTGCAGTTTTCTGCTCCAGTTTTATTGACTCCAAGGCTGAGGCTCAGAGAAGGCTCCAAACCACTCACCCCCGTGCAGGACACGTGCACAGTGTCTCCATCTGAACTTGTGGAGATGGGGTACTACTGCTGCAGTAAGGTAAGGGGCTCTTTGCTTTCATTTGTGTGTCTGAACAGTGGAGGACCTGGCACTGGCACTGCTTTGAGGATACTGTGGAGGGGAGTTACTGGTAACTGCCCCAACCTGTGTCATTTCAGATGGTAACAGCCAGTGGCTGTCACAGAGCTGGGGGATCAGATGATGCTCCTGCCTCTCTGTGGAAGCATCTGTGTGCTTTCTATGTGTGTTGACTCCCCACTTGTGAACTCTGCTGTGGGAGCAGAGACCACAACACCTCCCAGTGAACTGTGCAACAAAGGCAAATGGAGTGAAACCCAAACCAGTGCAGGTGGCAGAAAACTGAGGAAGGTGCCTCCTGCAAGTCAGTGAATCCTCATGGCAGGGAGTGCTGCTGCCTGCCTGGTTCTGTGCTCCTCACCGGGAGGCTGAGCACCCACATTTCACAGAGCTGCTGGTGAGTGTGATGCTGCTCCTAAGTGATGCTTTTCCCTTCTTTCCTCCCCTTAGTCAGCAACCACAGCTGACTCCCAGCTTCTGTTATAAGCACTCCCCATCCAGCTCTGACCCCCTGGGACACCCAGCCCACAGCCTTCCTCTCCTGCCTCCTCTTCCCATCCATGAGAATGAGGAGCACACGGCAGCAGTGTGATGGAGAAAGAGGTCACTTCTCTGAGGACGCTGATGCCTTTGGGCAGTGCTTTCTGTCCTGCTGTGCCTCGCCTTGTCTGGCACTGCAGGGACAGCTGGCTTTGGGAGGTGCAGTTACTCAGAGCGTGTCCTTTAACGGAGTAAACAGCTCTGTAGCCTCTGGGGAACAAAGGGGAGCACTGCAAGCTCACGTGTTGCTCTGTAAATGTGCACCACAGGAGGCCGGGCACGTGTGCTGTGTAAACGATGTATGGAGGGGACTGCCACCCTCAGCTGCTCCACATCACTGACAGCAGTGTGGGAAAGGGGGTCAGGCACTGCTTGTGATGGGAACCTGCATCCCTGGTCCTGGTCCTGTGCCCCTGGGGGGTTAACTGCTGCAGCAGGGTCTGAGGGGGCCTGGGAGACTGCCTGGTATCCAACAGGGAGCTCCCACGGAGGTGGGGTGGGTAGGACACCCTACAGCTTACACAAGGCCCCGGCCCAGCCCTGGGTGCTGCTGTTACCTTGTGCAGGGTCAGGCTCTCCTTGTTCTCGGTCCTGTCCCTGCCCCTGGTGTCGAAGCTGCCGAGCGCCCTGCTGAGGGGCACGGGCAGGGGCAGGTGCTTGATCACCTGCACGGAGCTGGCCGGGAACACGCCGCTGACGCCGTTCACCTCCCCCAGGTACCAGTTCTCGTCCAGCTGCCGGAGCAACACGATGATGTCCCCCTTGTTGAACCGCAGCTCTCCAGGGTTGTGCCCTCGGTACGTGTACAGCGCCTTGGCTCGCGGGACCTGCGGGGCGGGAAACAGCCCTTGAGCTCATCCGATGCTGAACACAGACAGAACTCCCCAGAAGCATCCCTAATTACTGGGGAAAACATAGAGGTCTATGTCTCAAGCATGCATTTCTTGGGATTAACTACCCACATCCTTTCTTGATGTCTTTTTCTAATGAAGACAAGCTGCAAAATACTTATGCTAAATTTGTATCAAGATGAAAAGCAGGCTGAACTTGTTTTAGAATATTAAGAAACAGTTAAAGCCTTAAACCAGTCTTCCCGTGGGCAAAACACAGAGTTTTGTACATGCTGCCAAGTGCTGGGGGCTTATGAGTAGGACCCTGCTCTGTTTTCCCAGCCATCACCACCAACAGCCCGCCAGTCCCGTGGGAATGGCGCCATTGTACCAGTGACACACTCTGGCTTTGCCTGCCTTTTTCTGCCCAAATCCACCTGTGTCAGCGGCCAGGGCTGAGGCAGGATTTCTGCAGAGTTCACTCACCCCCATCAGCCACTTCTGGGAGGTCAGGAAGGGGGAAGAGCGAAACCCGCCATTTGTTTTCCTGAAGTGTGGAAAAGACTGAATTTTCCATGGAAATTTAGTTTTTGGGAAGGAAACATTTTCCAGCACTGCCAAACACTGATGCTTGGTACAGAAAAGGAACCAAGAAGAGAAAAATTGTATAAATTGGATGTACTGTGTTTACTTCAAAGCTTTTGAAACAGGAAGCAATTACTTTAATGCTTAGTTCTAATTAACTCCCTTTGCCTGTTAGTTTCTGCTCATAGCAAACATTTGGCTTTTTGACACTGAAAGTATATCGCTGGTAAAAAAGGAATGGAGCTGGATAAGCTTTAAGGTCCCCTCCAAGCCAACCCATCCTGTGAGCCTCTGAACTCCCACTGCCGGTGCTTGCCTGGATGTACGCACCTTCCCAGAGGAAAAACAGACTGTGGGAACAGGATTACGGGAGCACCGGCTCCCCTTTGGAAAGCCAGTGACAGAGTCCCTGGTGTTAAACAAGGACAAGGAGCACAGGAGAGCTTTGATTGCCTCAGGAGCCACCAGAAAACAAACCAGGCTCGTGCAAACAGCAAGCACAGGGCTTGTGAAGGAGAAGCACAAACAGATGGGATGGTGAGGGAACGGCTGCACAGCAAAATCGTCAGAACATAAAAGGCACCAAGAACGAGTTATGGAAATGTATTAAAAATAAGAGAAACTCTGAAATGAAATGCATGCCTGCTACTGACTGGGAAAGGTGAGCAAGCCATGGGGTGCTGAGAGTCTGGAATATTCTTTCTTCAGCAAGGAAACAGATGAGACAGGAGGGCAGGCTGGAATAGAGAGCAGAAACAGGTAGGATAGGGGAGTTTGTGACATTAGGGCTGGCCAAAACTCATCCCTGTGTGTCTTCCTCTGACCTTGGTCACAATCTTCACTCCTTCACCTCCTTTCTAACCCTTTCCTCCCTCTTCCATGCCCTTTCAAATCTCAGCCCCTTCTGTTTTCAGGTTTCCCTCTAAGCCTGGTTTTCTTTCCCACTGCTGTTTCCTGAAGCTTGCAGTGACCACTGATATCAGCTCACCCCTCATTTTATAGAGCACTTGGATTTGCTCATTGAAATTTGTGCAAAACTTTGCATATCAGTGAAGACCAGTTCATATTGATGTTACATGCTTCTTTAGCATCCCAAAAACCTTCACAGCGTGGGTCTTTTGGGGCTTGCTGGTAAGTTTGAACGCTCTCCAGGTAACTAACACTGGTGTGGTCCTTCATGTACTGGTGGTGGTTCTTGACCGTCACCGCTCCCTCCCCAGCAGAGCTCCTGTACTGCAGGGATGGGTTCAGCATCTCCCTGTACTTGGGCCTCTAATATTTTAATACTCTGTTAACAGAAAAAATCAGGGTAATTTAAACCAAGAGAGGAAGGATTTTTAAAAGCCACAGCAAGGCAAAGCACTTTGGTTTGGAACCAACTAAAATTCACTTGAACATTTTAAAGATCTTCATAAACCCCCTAACCATTCAATTCAGGTGATTTTTCATGGCCCAAGTCAGTTTTTTCCAAGGTCTGTTGTCTTTTTGTACTGATTTTGTTTGTATGTTCAGATACTGAACCCAAACTATCCCATTAAATTCCCAGCTTTATTTAGGGCATAAACCAAGCCTTTATCTGCCCACATGGAGCAACCCATGTGGTTTGCACTGCACTGGGCGCTTTCCTGCTTCACAGGCCCTGCACAAAATGCATCTTCCAGAGGAAGCCTTCCAAAAGACGTGTATCAGGGTCGCCGTTGTGTAACGTGTGCACGGGGTGCAGGAAAGGCACAGAAAAGCATCAGAGTCCCAGCAGCAACACCCGGGCTGAGCAGGCACCTCATGGGCACCTGAGCTCGCGCCTTATCGCTGGTGCTAGAGCGCGGGCAGCCGCGGGTGCAGCTCGAGCCTGAATTCGTTCTCAGGCTGGGCTGGTTTCTGTCCACTCGTGGATGGGCAGGATCCTCTGCAAGGGATCTGCTTGGCTTTATGTAAAGTGGGTTAATTGCAATGGCAGAAACTGTGGTGCTAATTAAGCCCTGCGATAAGGACAAGGTGTGCCTGGAGGTAGCTCCCTGCAGGCAGAGGGAGCGGCTCTCCCGCACGCGGGGTGAGGAGGGACCAGGTTTGTTTTGATGGAGTTTCCTCCCGTTAGCATTGCCAGTTGCTTTTTGTTAATCCAGAAGCAGCATTTGATGTAGTAGGGTGTTGTGGCAGCAAAATGTTCAGCCAAATATTGCAGTTCCTGGCGCGCTCCCGAGCTGCGGGGCCAGTGCCTGTCATTACGTTCCATTGGGAAAACACTAGAGGAAGCCCGGTAGCAGAGAGGCAGCAATATAGAGATGGAACATCAGGGTGAATGGAGAAGGCTTCTTTTCCCAGTCTTGCCATGCAGTACTGCAGCTGCAGTAGTAATGCTGGCCGTGGCAGATGCCTCTCAATGCCTTGCCCCAATTCCTAGTGCTTTGAGGCCCATAAGTGAGCAGGATTTGATGTTTTGCTATTTTTGGTGTCTGGCACCAGCTGTGCAAGGGCAGCCATCCAAGACATCTGAGTCTCCCTCCGTACAAAACAAAGCAAATTAAAAATATGTACATGTGTGTGAGGAAGCGATTCAAAGCATCCCTCATAGCTGGGAGAAACGCACACTATAATTATCCTAAATGAGCTAGTTATAACTTCCTCATTATTGGCAGCGGATTAATGTAAGACCACACACTCATAGCGTTGGTATTTAAAAGAAAAGAGAAGAGAAAGACGTGTGTGAGGCTGGCTGGGGAGGGGGCACCAGGGACAGACATGGGGAGCTGTCAAGGAAGGAGGAAAGCAAAGCCGGGGGGTGCAGCGGAGCGGAAATATCTCTGATGGAGGCTGTGAGCCCGTCACCCTTGTCCCAGGGGACTCCATCTGACACCACCCAGATGAGCAGCACAGCCCCGTGGTGATGCTGCCTGTGTGACCAGACCGAGCCGCTGCCTGCAGTACCCCGGGCTGAGCACGTGGCCGTCAATGTCCCTGCACGTGGGGTTCATTCAGTCCATCACCCATTTCCGAGCAAGGCTCATCTCAAACAGCTTCAGCCAGGTACAGCTGATGACATCAGACGGGATCCTCCTGCTTCCCAGGTGCTCTGACTTCTCTGATGTCCATGACTACCTTGATGGTCGCATGGGATGAGTGACAAATTAATCTTTGGAATTAGCTGTTGATGTCCAGGAGTGCTTCCTTCTGATTTACAGCCTGCCAAAGGGAGGGCGGCAGGAGCTGTTTGGGCAGGAGCAAGCTCCAGGAGCGCTGCCTGCTCCGGGCATCCCTGTTCCTGCCTCGCTGCCCAACCCAGTGCTGGACCGGCCCCCCAACCCTCAGTAGCACCCCGCTGACTCCAGCGGTGCAGACAAACCCGTGGGGCTGAGGAGGCAGCTGGCACAGGAGCGAGAACGGCCTTGGACGGGTTTGAGCCTGCACCCGGTGGTTTCCCAGCCCTCATTTTCGTAACTCCGCACAGGGAATGCCCTGGAGCCGCTCTCCGCTGGGTCCCGAAGGCAGAGCCACCCCAAGCATGTGGCCTCCTCCCCGCAGCTCCACGTCCTTGCAGTGGGTGCCGAGGGCCTGATCCTGATCTGGGTTTCGCGGGTGTCGCCCCACGCGCAGGGATGCAGCCCGAGACCTGAGCTCTGGTGCAGGGCGTCCGTGGAGCCCCGGAGCCGCGGCCGCCCAGGGGCTGCCCCTCCGCAGCGGACCCGGGACCCTGCAGGGAGCTGTGGGAGGCAGGAGGGCCCCGGCTGCCCCCGGCGCAGGGCCCTGGTGGGAGCTGGTGCACCCCGTGCTCTGCACGAGCTCTGCCCTCGCCTCCCACCCCCGGCACTGCGTTATTTGTGCAGGAGCTAAAACCCGTGCTGTGCAGAGGCAGCGATATTCCTGTACATACACGACTCCTGTAGCACAAAACAGCCTCCCTGAGAGCAACTGTTTATTTGTAGGATGGTGCCAGGAAGAAGAGGAATCCGGTCCTGGATGCCTGCCAGTTTGTTTTTCTCCTAGTAGGTACAGCGGGTTCAGTTTGCAAGTGGGCTTTGATTACTTTTCACTTTGGAGCTGTTTGGAACCGGGCTGCTGTTGGTTGGAGGGGACTGGCACAGGGGAGGGCTGGACTCGCCAGGGCCTGCTCCTCAGGGAAACACATTGAATTGGATCCTGCTGAGCCTCTGAACTCCATCGCACTGCTCTAAGAGGTGGTATGCGATAGGTGAGGGCATGCTTCATGGCCCAAGATCACAAGTGAGCACTAGAGGTGTCCCAGGGTGGCATACAGTGACCCCAGACAGATCTGAGAGCACAGCCCGGGCCACGCTCCCGAGGAGCAGTGATTTACACACCATGAATGGAGAGCTGGTTGTTACCTGCACACTGACACCAAAGGGCACGCTGGCTTTTCAGTCGGTAACAACAGCCTGATTTGATTACTAACTTCC